GTCGAGCCTTCTGGCGGCGCGAGCGGCTGGCGCTGAGGATGGGCAACGAGGCGGTGGGCGCACTGAACTGGCTCGCGGGCTTTCGGAACGGACCGACGTACTTCGACCCCGATCCGATGCAGCTCGAAGTTTTGGAGCGGATCTGCGACTTGGCCTCGCGGCGGTACCCGGGTCCAGATGCTCTCAGTGAACGCGCGGCCGTCCGCCGGTTGCTGCGAGGGCATGCGCCGTGCGATGGGGCGGGTTGCCTCGCCCGTGTTGCGCCCTTCAGAAAGGACCTCGTCTCGTTGGCCGAGACAGTGGAGGGGTGCCCGCCGTTTGAGGACGTGGCCCCCCCCGAGGTCCAGCGCTTCCTGAAGGGGCAGCCCGAGCGCATGCTGCGCGACGGAAGCCAGGCACCAACTGTGATGCCGTACTTCGACCCGGCGCTGAAGCGGAGCGCCAAGACCCATCGACATTTTGTCGCTGACCTGCGGCGCCGTGGCCTGCCGAGGTGGGCGCGCCGCCCCCGCTGCCAGGCGGGCCTCTTCTTCGTGGGGAAGGACAGCGGGAAGCGGCTGCGCCTCATCCTGGGCGCGCGGCCTGCTAACGAGCTCTTCGAGGCCCCGCCCGGCGTGGAGCTCCTCACCGCGGAGGGCCTCGGCCGAGTGGAGTTTGCAGTTCGCCTTGCTTGAGGGCATGGGCCCCTGGGGCCCGGGGGCTCAGCGGCTCCTGCAGGGCTGCGGCCTCCATTTGGGGGTCGCGGACGTCAAGGACTGCTTCCGCCGTCTGCAGCTCCCGAGCTGGCTCACCGAGTACATCTGCCTCCCCGAGGTCCCCGCCTTCGTCCTGGGCGTCGAGGGCCAGCTCTGGGAGGGCTGCCCGCTGGGGCGGCATGGCCTGGTGAGCCCCTGCTGGGGGGTCTTCCCGATGGGCCTCACCTGGGGCCCGTGGGCCGCGCAGCGCATCAACGAGCGCAAGGTGATGGAGATTTGCCCCCATCTGGCACGGGGCCCCCTGACTGACAGAGGCAGGCCGCCCGTCTTGGGCCGGCGGGCCCTGTCGGCCATGCTGCCCACTACGTCTGCGTGGACAACCTTGGCGTCGCCTCTACCTCGCGGCCCTTGGTTTCCGACGCCGTGCAGCAGCTCGTCCGTGGCTTCGACGAGCAGGGCTTGGTGTTTCGCGGCAGCTCCGTGAGCGTGGAGGCCGAGGCCCTAGGCGCCGAGGTTTTCGGGGTCGCGCTGGAAGACCAGGGTCACTCAGAAGCGCTTCTGGCTGATCAGGCAGGCGATCAAAGGGTTACTTCGCAGATGTCGTCTGACTGGCTGGGCCGTGGAGGTCTTGGTGGGCCACTGCGCTTGCGCTGGGCAGCTGGCGCGCGGTGCCCTCGGCGTCTTCCACGCGGTCTGCGCCTGCGTGGGGAAGTTCTACTCCGCGCCCGCGACGCTCTGGCTGGAGACCCGCGTGGAGCTGGAGGTGTTCCGAGGCCTGCTGATCTTCCTGGCGAGCGACTGGGCGCTGCAGTGGAAGGAGCTGGTGGTGGCCACCGACAGCAGCCTGGAGGCAGGGACAGCATTTACCACCCGCTGGCCCCACAGCATGGTGGCCGAGGCAGGCCGCGTGCAGGGGAGGGCCCGCTCTCGCGAGGTCGCTGCTGGGCCGCTGGCGGCAGAGGACGGTGTCCTCCCCGCAGCCCGCCGCGGGGCCCGCGGGGCTGCGCTGGTGGCGGCGGGCTTTTGGCGGAACGGCGGCGGTCAGCTCTCGCCCTGTGTATTCTGAGCGCTGCCTGACGTCCTCGTATCCCATGTCGGCTCAACCGTTTGATAGGGCCGAGCCTTCTGACCCTCGGCCCGCCTCGCATGCGGCGGCGGGAGCTTGTGCGGACGGAGCCGCTGCCCGCGCCCTTGCCCGCGACCGAGCGGAGGCGCCTGCTGGTGCGGCCTGCGCTGGCGCCAGCTGGGGCGAGTGCCCCGCAGCTGCCGCGGCCTGCTCCGACGAGCGCAGGGCTGACCCCGGCGCCGCGCCGCCAGAAGACACCGTCGGCGGCCCAGCGGTCGCGGGACTGGAAGGCTCGCCTAAGCTTGGCTGCGCTGCCGCCGACGCCTCGGCTCCCAGCGCGGGGCGCGGACCTGCCGGCCCCCCCCCAGGACTGGCAGCGCCAGATCGTGGCCGACAGCGACGGCGACAGCAGCACCTCCGACGAGCAGCAGGTCTTGCAAGCCGGCGAGAGGCGCGCGAAGGAGCTGCTGACGCGCTGCAAAGAGGAAGAGGACCTACGGAGCGGAGGCGCTGCAGGGCAGTGCGGACGGCCAGACCTTTCTGGAGCGGCGGCCCGCCTTCCTGGAGTTCTGCGACGCGGGGCCGCGCCGCCCGATGCGCTCGCCCGCGCAGGTGGGCGATGCCCTCGTGGACTACATGAACGCGTTGTTCTTCAGCGGCCACGAGTCGTCGAAGGGCGACCAGGCGATGGCGGGCCTGATGTACAGGTTCCCAGAGTACTCGACGCAGGGCGAGTCCAAGACGCCGCGAGCTTGGCGTTGCCTGCGGGGCTGGCGCAAGCTGGCGCCTGGGCGCAGCCGCCGGGCCTGGCCGTTGGCCCTCTGGTACGGGCTGGCTTGGCGCATGGTGGCGCGTGGGGCGCTACAGATGGCCATCTTCCTGCTCGCCATGGTCTCGGGCTACTTCCGACCCAGCCACCTGCTCTCCTTGACGCGCGGCAATTTCATCACGCCTGCGCCAGGAGTGTGCCGCTGGTGGTCGCTGCTCCTTCCCGGGCAGCAAGCCGCTGCGCGGCGAGGCGGGTCTGGCAGACGTCGTGGTGATGCTGGACAGCGGCTGGTTTCAGTGTACCACGCCCATCTTCCGCGAGCTCGCGCAAGGGATTCCAGAGGAAGAGGTGTGGGACTTCAGTTACTTTCAGTTCCTGAAGATGTTTCGGATGGCGCTGCAAGACCTGGGTGTCGAGCAGCACAGTGTTCCTTGCCAGACTCGACACTCAGGTCCGAGCATAGACGTGGCCAGGCACTCCAGAACGCTGGAGGAGATACAAAAATGGGGGCAGTGAAAACATGCCAAGTCGACGCGGAGGTGCGAGAAGGCAGCTCGGCTCGGACAGTCGTGGAGCTTGCTGCCGGCCTCCCTGCGCGACACTCTGAACGATTGCGAAAGTCGGCTCGAGGACATTCTGCTCGGAAAAGGTGCAGGGGTGATTACCCAGTGAGGTGGCTGGGCCGCCAGCGCAGATGCGTCTTAGATCTGTTCTCGGTTTCAGATTCGATTGGACAAGCCGCCCTCGCACGGGGTTTCAATTACCACGGTTTTGATAGTCAGAACGGCCCCGATGAAGATTTAACGCGTCCAGTCGTGATTGCTAGAATTCGGAAAGCCTTTTCCCGCGGGGAAGTTATCGCCGCTTCGCTCGGTCCCCCTTGTGCGTCTTGGGGCGCGGCGGCGGACAGAGACCGCCGTCCAGGTCGCTCAGCTTTGTTCCGTGTTTGTCGCCGCTGGGAGCGCCATTTTCCGAGCCGCTCTGACCTCGATCAGATGCCCCGTGCGGGCTGGCGCCCCTTTTGTGCTGAAGCACCCCGTCAACTGAGCAGTTGCACAACTTGGCTAAACAACGTTGCATGCATAGTAGGATTTGTGATCCGTGTCAGTTCGGGGTCCGTTGGAGGAAGCGCACAAAGTTTTTTCGGCGTTGATCCCCAGGGCACTTGAAAGCTGCATAGGCGTTGCCGAAGTTTTGGCGGGATTTGTGTTCGGCCTCGGGGAAGCCGCACGTTGTGCTCGAGGGCAGGGCCCCGTCTGGGCCCACGTGGACTTCCCTTGCCGCGTCCTGCCCCGCAAAGTTAGCTGACTGCATGGTGAACTGCTTGCTGAGCCGCCACATGGACTTTGAGGCGGCATTCCTCTTATAGCCCACCACGCCCTCCCAGTGAACCCTTTGGGATCTTGGGCTTCTGTTGTGTCTCGAGCTTCGTCTAGACGAGTGGCACGTGGTAGCAGAAATGTTCCCCACCGAATGTAGCAGTTAACCTGTCAGTGCGTGCGCAGGACGGTTGTGAGCGGAATGACATGGTGCGTCATTGCAGAAACGAACCGTTTAAACTGGGGGGACCCTTGGACTCCATAGCCTTCTTCGGTTCCCTCCCGCCCTTTTCTCCCCCTCTTTCGCCTCTGTCGCCAGGGCTTCTGTTGTGTCTCGAGCTTCGCCTAGACGAGTGGCACGTGGTAGCAAAAATGTTCCCCACAGAATGTAGCAGCTAACCTGGAATAATTTGTGAGGAAATATCCGGCGGGATCATTTTTTTTGTGTTTGTTTCTCCTTTCCGGGGCCCACCAACCCAGTTTGAGCACGAACCCCCCCGGATAAAATCATAGAATGCGAGCCCCATGGGGGGCATTTCGTTTGAAACAGCGCAATGTGCACCGGTGCTGGGATCAGCAATGATCATTTTCCAAGGACGATATGTCGACAACGCAACATCGCAACCACAATTCCGCACCGCGGAAGCCCCCTTCAGCAACGCGCCCAGGGACAGTGAATGATCGTTCGGCCCTATCATTCTGACCATGCCAGTGGTGCAGCGACCCGTACCAGTTCTTTCCGTAATGGCAGCAACCATCATGTTCTTTCTGATGAGATGTCGTAGGCCCTTTGCCAGGAGTGTCGGTGCAGGTGGTCGTGCCTGTTCCAGCGATGTGGCCCACCAGTGGAATACGGTGGTGTTCGTGGCCTCGAAAGCAGAGTGGTGCGCGTGCGGGCTGGTTGAGGTCTTTTGGCAGCTCAGTATAGGTAGCACTTTGATGCTACACACATGTTGGACAGGATGTACTGTTCATGATGGTTCGGGAGGTATGCAAGGAAGATACCTGTGCACGAGTTCGTTGATGTGTAAGTATGGTCGGATTTCCATTGTGATTCCGTATTATCTCCGAGGAGAGCAGCCGTAGGATGATGAGGAGGAGGAGGAGAGGCAGAGGATGATAATAGGTCGGACGGTCAAGAAAGTCCGCGTCGATCGAAACACAGACGCAGTCCGAGATCGCAGCGCCACCAGGTTCAGGGAGCCGACGACGCCTCCTCGTCTTCCTCCCCCCCATCCCCCAGTGGCCCAATTTTCTCGGCGATCCGGGGTCTTCGCACTTCGCGGCTCGGTTCCTTCCCCGCGGTGCTGGCGCTGAGGCTTCGTGAAGGGAAACTGGCGCAGCTCTCGTCGCCGATGCCCTCCACCTGTCCTGCCGCGCGAAGGCGTGCCCCTCGGCGGCGCGCCCAAGCGGGGAAGGCAGGCGGGGTGGCCCCCTCAGAAGGCCCAGGCCAGGCCGCTGGTCTTTCAGGATCGGCGGCGAGCGCTTGGGGGGGGGAAGCTAGGAAGGAGAGGGCCTTCTCAGAAGGCGGCGGGGCTTCTCAGAGACCCTTCGGCCTTCCGAGCAGCTCGTTTTATCTTGGGGGGAGGCTCACACAGCTTCTGAGATGGCCCAAGGCCTTCCGAGTGTTCTGAGAAGGCCCGCCCCTTCTCTTTTCCCTCCCAGACTTGCCGCCGAGAGAAGTCTTTCCGAAACCGCCGAGGGCTTCTCGACGGGCCACAGGGCTTTGCGAAGCGCCGCCGCCTTCGAGAAGGCCTGCCCCCTCCCACTCACCCCCTCGGCTTGCCGCCGAGCCATGCCCTGCCGTTCTCCCCGCTGCCCGTGTTGCTGGTCTGCTTGGACCTGGCCGGGCCCGGGATGCCAGAGGCGACGAGGGGTGTGTGCAGCCCCAGCGCGGATGGATGCCTGCCTGCCCGCAGCGGGGGCGCAGCGGCACGGCAAACTGCACTTGAGAGGCGTTCGACGCGGGGTGCGGGTCGCCTGGCTGGGACCTGGGATCCAAAGCGGAAGGACATGTCCACCAGGCCTTTCCCAGTCACGTCGAGCCGCTGTCGGCTCCCCAGCCCTCCGCGAGCGGAGGGCCGCGGCCCTAGGGCAGGCGTCTCGGAAAGGCAGGCGCGCATGCGTGCTTTCCTCCTGACCTGGTGGGCCCCCCCCCGCCGCGCGCGCAAGGCGCACAATCGGGTGCGCGAGGACCTCTCGCAGCAGCTCCGCCGATGCGAGGGGGGGAGGGCCCTCTGCCGTTCACAGCTCCGTCGGAGTGCGTTGGAGGAGGGGGGAGGCGGGTGCCGGATGAGCAGGATGCCGAGTAGCAGGAAGAGGATACCGGAAGGCGGAGGAGGGGGAATACCGGGGGGCGGCAGCGACGAGGAATGCTTTACCGCGCTGGGGCGAGAGCGCAGTTCCGGACGACGGGCAACGCACCCATCCCGAAATTTAACAAACGCCGCAGATGGAACGCATCGAAATCGAACATTATCATAGTAAAGAAACAATGTAATGCAATCGAGGGTGTCAGTATGTGCGCGTGCGTGCGTGCGTGCGTGCGTGCGTATCGAAATCGAACATATCATAGTAAAGAAACAATGTAATGCAATCGAGGGTGTCAGTATGTGCGCGTGCGTGCGTGCGTGCGTGCGTGCGTGCGTGTGTGTGTGTATGTATGTGTGTTCGAGCCTCTCGGTCCACTGGGTCGGGCTCTGCTTCGTTGTGTTTCCTACCACGCGCTGCAGCTCCGTGCTGCCTCCCCCCAGCTTCAGCTCAGTGCAGCCCAGTGCAGCTCTGTCCCGACGCTGCTTCCCCCTCGGTGCTCCCCCCGCCGCAGCCGGCAGCTCTGAGTGGCCTGGCTTCCTCTCTTCCTGTCGCGCCGGGGCTCGTCCTCCTCCTTCCGTGCATCGCGGCCTTAATTCTGCAAATAGGCTTGCCCTACAGGTCTTCTAACCTAAAACTTACTAATTGGTCTGTTGCCCCCCTTCTAGAAGTCCTATGGCTATGCCTATGCCTATGCCCATGTCTATGACTATGCCTATGCCTCTCCCTCCCCTCTCGCTCCTATGCCTACGCCTATGCCTATGTTTATGACTATGCCTCTCTCTATGCCCATGCCTATGCCTATGCACTGCCTCTGAGCGCTCTTTTGCTTATGCCTATGCTTATGCAAATTTTTCCAATGCTTGCTTGCGCGCTTGCGCGCTTGCACGCTTGCACGCTTGCTTGCTTGCTGAGTTCTGGATTCCAAACATTGATTCCTCTGATTGCTTGATTTGGCTCGTCTAATCTATTTGGAGTCAACGCTGGCTGATATTTGTATACAGCGTGACCCCAGTTGCCATTCCGCTGGAGCAGTTGCCTTTTGCCTAGCCGCCGACGCAAAAAGTGTGTTCGTGCCTGCTGTGGCGCATCAACTCCTGGCGTTGAGCTGCTCTCCGCGGGGTGCTTGGCCGCTGCATTCTATTGGCGAATTAGCACCAGACTGCAGCCCGCGCTTCAAGTCCTGACGTCGAGCTTTGCTCCGCAGCTTACTTGGCCGCTGCACTTTGGCTTTGCAGTGCCTCATCTTTTCACCACCTGCATCTACCTGCAAGGACGTGGCTGTATCCTTTCATAACGGCGCGTTCGAGTAAGTTTGTCCGCGAGTGGCGCTTCCATCAACCGACAGCGCCTGAGGTTCTTCTGCGCAGCCGTGCGTATATGTATAACACGTATGCGCGCGCGCGTGTGTGTGTGTGTGTTGGTGTGTGTATGTGTGTGTGTGTGTGTGTGAGAGTGTCTATGTTTGCGTGTGTTCGTTCGTTGCCCGCCACGAGCTGGACCGTCACATCCTCGCACCAGCCTCACGCCATGCCGCCGTCCGAGCGAATCATGCCCGTGACGGTGGCTGGGGTGGAGGTGCGCGTGCGGGGCACGGCCCATTGGGCGGCTAATTGGACGCACCCAGCCGTAAGCGTCATTCGTCACAACAAGCAAGCACGAACCAGCTCCCACGACGCGGCCAGGCAGGCGTGCGTGTTTGCTGCCGCTCTGTGTTGCCCGTTGTGACGTGGAAGGTGTGCCAGCCCCTTCCGGGTGGGGTGATGGGATACCATTCTTCTGTGTCGCATTGTACAAAGGGTTCGCTTGAGAATGTGGGCGCACGGGTGAGCGAGATTGCGCGTACCATTGAGCCAGCAAGGGGGGTGGGCACGGGGTAAAGAGGAGGGAGGGCGTGGAAAAAGGGGGGACGGAGGGACGCAGGGAGGGGTGGAGGGAATGTCGAGCGCGCCCGCAGCCGTGGCGCGTGCTGCACGGGTGCACTGCGACTTCGGCCGAGCCATCACACCAGTTTGGGACAACACCGATTCACGTCACAGGTCA